AAATAAATAAATAAATAAATAAATAAATAAATAAATAAATAAATAAATAAATAAATACATACATACATACATACATACATACATACATACATACATACATACATACATACCAGCAAAACTACATTTAGGCCACGCAGACTGAATTCACACCATCTGATTCACATAGTAAATGTGAATAAGGCTCCTTAACAGGTGGGTATGCACTGAGTTTAAACAAACCAGCAATATGAAGCTTGTTTGTTTAATCCAATATACGTAATATCCTAAGGTTAGGAATTTTATTTTTACAAACTGCTACCCAATAGTATCTGTCTGGACTGCTTGGAGTGGTATGGACTGGAATTTAACTATCCACTCAACCTCACCCTTCTAGTGTTATTGTATTATTTCAGGGCAGTTTAGATGCGTAACATACATTCAAAAAGGTGTCCTTAGACATTAAGTTTGTTGTGGCCACACATGCTGCTTGAAATATTTATAAAACTGAGCCACTTTACACTCTGGTAAGCTCCACAACAATTATGAGTTAGTTATCCTTAAGTGTTAGATTCATTTTTGTATACACTTTGAGAAAGGGTAAACTGACAGGTTAGGGACTTGAATGTAATTTTTCTACTATCTAAACAGGACATAGAAGGTAAAACAAGTAAGTTTATCAGAGCTATTTGTTCCACTGTAACTTCCTAAAACAGGTTAGGGGGAGAATAACATACCATTTTGCCTGCACCATCAATTCCATTTATGATGGTTATGCCTCCATTAGCCTCCCATTAAGCTCCAAGTTGGCTTTATTTTGACACAGAAGTTAACCATGGTGTGGTGCAAATTTGCAAATTATGTTATAAATATGAAAGTGCTGTAAGATTTCATATTTGCAAAATTTTCTAAAGGGAAAACCAGCTTTCAAAGCCACTGAGTCATCCTGGACCCCTCCAAACACCTCACAGTAACCTGCTCTCCCAGTAAAAGGATAGAAAGGTTGAACTTCCTTTCTTTTAGGAGCACAGAAAGTAGGAAAGTATACACTGCTTTCCCCTATAGAAAAAAGGAACCTCTCCTGCTTTCAATCTGATACAGAAAAATGAAAGATCAAAACCACCTGCCAAAGCAAATGAGAAAAACCTACTCCTGCATTCTTCAGCTTTCCCCCACCAAAAAACTCTTTTTTCTGCATGCACAACAGTTCACTGCATGTACACTGCCAACTGCAGAAGGAGACATCCACTACCACCAGCATACATTGTAAACTCTGTTTCTAATGGGGCAGTCTCTGGGCTTGTACAAGTAAAAGCGAGAGATTGCTCACAGAGCAATTACACTCCATGACTGCTAATAAGATTCTGGCAACACTGAACTAGAAGCTGAAGACGGTCAAATTAAGTGCTCAGAATTCACCAAGAGGCTCACAATTCAGGCAAAAGCAACACAACAAATACTTAAAGTTTTTTAAAATGGCCTATTTGGAAATATATCAAAGATGCCCTCAGCTTCTATGACTCATCTTCACTGCCATCTAACCCTAAACTGTTGAGCTGTGTCTGTTTTAATTTAAAATAGATGCCGTGTCTGTTTTAATTTAAATTTATTTTGTTCTCTTGGAAACATCACTTTACATAAGCGTACAGAAAAATGTACAGCAATTATGGGACCCAACATCTCCGACACACAATAAATTCACCAGAACAGATGTTAAAGAATGTCCCGTTGCCCCACTTCTGCTCTGCATTAAAACACGCTAGAGACGGAGCCAGTACATAGCGCTGCGGATACGGTTGTAGTCTGGTAGCTGTTCAATAGGACCTTTGAGAGAAGACAATTAATTGGTCATTAGAAACACTGCAAAGAAACTTCCAACCATTCTGTTATACATCTATAATAAAACTATTATGATACAATAAAAGAAAAACTAGAAATAAATCTTACCAAGCTACTATAAATGTTCTTAAGAGTGACAGTAATAACACATCTCTATTCTAGCTTTCCCATCAGCTCCAATCCACAAAGTATAAATCAATCACAGGACAAAATCCAAGTCTGAAAGGTTTCATACAAGGGTTTTCATGGATTTTGTTGACTTCCTTTCAAAGAATTTTACTTTGGAAGCTCAGCAGGATTATTAATGATTACAATTATGTGAAAGGGGAATCACAAGCTACTTTAAGTAATCATGGTGTTCAGACAAGTTTTCTAAGAGGAATATTTTCTTGGCGAAGTGGTTAAAACGCTGTATTGCAGCTAAAACTGTGCTCACGACCTGGGGTTCAAATCCCAGGTAGCCGGCTCAAGGTTGACTCAGCCTTCCATCCTTTCAAGGTCGGTAAAATGAGTACCCAGCTTGCTGGGGGGGGGCAATGTGTAGCCTGTATAATTAAAATTGTAAACCGCCCGGAGAGTGCTTGTAGCGCTATGGGGCGGTATATAAGTCCAAAAAAAAAAAAAAAAAAAATGGAAGCAACAAAGCCAGCTTACCTGCTAATGTCATGCAAACATGACCCAAAATGAACATTTCACAAACATTGCTATGACCCAACTTTGTTTCAGCTGTAGCTCTACTGGAATAGGAATGGGTGAAAACTGGCCTGCAGCTTTCTGACTCCCTCAGTGTTCAGACTGGACTCTGACTAGCAACAAGTTAATGACTACGCTGGTGCAGCTGGTATGAAGCAGCTCACACATAGCTAAGAAAAGCCAGAATAGACAGGTAGGTGTGTGAAATCTCAAAGAAATTAAAGCAGATCTACAGCAAACATCATCTACCCCATTGCTTCTGAACCCTCTAAGTGACCACCACTTACCAACTCCCACAACAGCTGGGCATTTATCATACACGTACTTATTACAGACCTCTTGCACCTGTTTGGCATCTACTTCCTAAAACAAATGTCAGACAAAAGGACAGCATTAACCCTCAAAGAAAAAAAAGGAGGGAAGGAGGAAGAATACATTGATTTTTTTTTCTGCTACTGCCCAGCAGTCATTCACATAGTTCAGAAGACACATGTATAATACTTGATGGAATAGACCATTTTCTCTTCTGCATCTTATGATGACAGCTCTTAATTTGCAGAAAATGGCGGCCTCTAAATTAGAACTGTGTGTAGAGAATAATTTCACAATCTGGTGATGGGATGACTTGTTTTCCTAGTTTTAGTTATAGTAGTATATTTACATAATCATAGCTGTTAGTAAATGTCTTAAGTGCTAGCAATGCCAGTATGTTAGTAAGTTTAATTCTTCTCCCACAGATCAATATCACTTACAGAAATTCTGGCATCCCATTCTGCCAGGGGTATCCGGCGCCCGTAAGTCAAAATATGCCTTCCAATAGTCTCACATATATTAGTGGTGCCTGAAAAATATTAGTTATAAACAAGCAGAGTTGAAAGAAGAAACTGATAATGTAAGTTGCTTTCTGGAGACTTAGTTGTAGTTTTGTGAAACACAATTGTACAGAAGCCCTTTTGCTGCTTTTCTATATACTTTTCAAGAGCAACATTTTCTATATACTGTACCTTTCAAGAACAACAAATGGCAATTTGTTTATTATAATGGTACATAACCTTTGAAATGCAAGCTACTAAGGGAACACAACTCTCATTTTTATGTGGGTGAGTCAACTGTGTAGGGCTGTGTCTACACAATTTAAACAATTTAAAGATATCCTTATTTTACAGGAAAAGTAGATTGCTCCCTAGATGATATATATTCATTCATTTATTATTTTATACAATTTAAACAAAATTGGCAAGAATGCTATATGCACGTATAGCAATAGGTTTGAATAATCAGACAGAAAAACTGATTTTAAAAGTAAAAAGCACTGCTGATTAATGAAACAGGATGTTTTCAAAAGCAATTTTAGTATCAGTACTTGTAAGAATTGAAGATGGCACACGCTATCTTTTCTTTTTTATAAGAGAATACCTCTTCAGTGAATCTGTGCATCACCTAAAGTCTAGTCTTATCTTGAAACCATGGATTTCATCTGTCTGTAGCTGCATTTATTTTCCAGCATAGAAACAGTAAGTGACACCTAGGAAGGCACATATCTTAACTTCTGCACTGCATAAGGATACGGATGGAGGAAAAGGGAAGACAAGATATACGGGGAGATAATATGGAACCAAAAGGTTCTGCTCACTAAAGAACCACTATGTATATAGGGTGTTAGATTTAAAACACTTAAAAGTGTTTGTGTGTGTGTGTGTGTGTGTCCTTAAAAGTGTGTGTGTGTGGGGGGGGTGGAATTGAGTGTGTTGTGAGAATGGCTGATGGTCAGATTCCAAAAGATCTCCTTTATGGAGAATTAGTGCAGGGGAAGCGGCCCGGAGGGAGACCACAGCTGCGATACAAGGCTATCTGCAAGCGGGATCTGAAGGCCTTAGGAATTGACCTCAACAGATGGGAAACTTTGACATCTGAGTGTTCAGCAAGGAGGCAGGGGGTGCAGCACAGCCTCTCCCATTTAGAAGAGACACTTGTCCAGCAGGTCGAGGCAAAGAGGCAGTCCTGAAAGCAGCAAAATCAGGGAGCTGGACAGGGGCAGATTGTATTTGTCTTCAGTGTGGAAGGGATTGTCACTCTCAGAAACTTCCAACTGTTCTGTAATACATCTATAATTAAACTATTACTATTTCACTTCTGAGCCACACTAGACGCTGTTCAAAGACCTCTATTCAGAGCATGTTATCATAGTCACTCAAGACTGAAGGATGCTTACAATGGAATTGAAAATGAGTGCACAAACATTAATTTTTTTCTGGTCTAACAGCCTGCACATAATGCTTTGAAAAGTAGTGAGCCATTACTGTGTTTCCCCAAAAACAGGACAGGGTCTTATATTAATTTTTGCTCCAAAAACACATTAGGGCTTATTTTCAGGGGATTTTTTCCCCTCTCGTGTACAACCATCTACATTTATTCAAATACAGTCATGTCATCTTCTTCTGGTTGCTACACAATGGTGGAGGGGAGGTTTCACTTCAATTGGGCTTATTTTTGGGGTAGGGCTTATATTACGAGCATCCTGAAAAATCATACTAAGTCTTATTTTTAGGTTAGGTGTTATTTTCGGGAAACAGGGCAGCACAGATAAGCCATTTGAATTTATGTATACTATGCAGCAAGGCTTTCATTGAAGGAGAAATCGGGAATCCCTAGAAACATTACACTGAGTCACTTTTCACAGAGTGCAAAACATAAAAATATGCTTAGAAGATTAAACTGGGAGTTGCTTATCTTAAAGAGACACACCATCCAGTTGAGCTGCGAAAGCGTTTCGAACAGTATTTTTGGCTCTTGTCACATCACTCTCAACTACACTGGTACAGAGTTTCATCCTGCTCAAGGAATAGAAGGGAGGAAGAGTTAATAAAACACAATCCACTTTTAAATGGCAAATGTCACTTTTATTTTTAAATACTCTCAACATTAAAACTTTACCATGGTTGCCAGTCAGCAGGCATATTTTGAGTTAAGGCCTATAATGAATTCAGGTGCACTTAATCACAGAACAATATTTCCCAGGAGGTGAAGTAAATACCACCAGAGATCTTAAATGTTATTGCCAGGTATGAAATGCCAAGCTATCAACATTTTGTGCCCGGTAAAAAAATAGTCGCTTTGTTTTAAGGTCACATAGAAATTGTGTTCGAATATGCATATCCCCCATAGGTGCAGATAACGAGGGTCTGGCCCCCTGGGGCCAAGCTGACCACTCACCATTCCACCGCTCCTGTGAGCTCCAGGCTCTGTTCCGATCGCTCCGGATCTCGCAATGGATTAGTCACTCCTGGCAGAAGATGACGAGCCTCTCTGCCAGGCCGAAGAGTAGCTAATCCACTGTGAGCTCTGGAGTGATAGGAACAGAGTGCAGAGCTCACAGCAGTGCCGGAATGCTGAGTGGTCAGACTGGCTCCAGGGGGCAGGACCCTCATTATCTGCATCTGTGGGGGGATATTTGTACAGTGGTGCCTCGCTTAGCGATGTTAATCCGTTCCAGGAAAAACATCGTTAAGGGATTTAGTTGCTAAGCGATTTTTTAAAGCCCATAGAAACGCATTAAAACGTGTTTAATGCATTCCTATGGGCTTAAAAACTGATCTTATGCGAAGATCCTCCATAGGGGCGGCCATTTTTGGTGCCTTTAAAGCGAGGCAAAACAGCGGTCGCCATTTTGTTTTTCCGGCAGCCATTTTGGAACCGCCGATCAGCTGTGCGAAAACGGGGGGTTTGCGATGATCGCTTCCGCGCGATCATCGCAAACGCCCCATTTTTGCATAGCTGATCGGCGGGGCCTTTGCGAAGATTGTGCAGAA